TGTTTTCCAAGCACACATCTTCACAGTGTCAAATTTCTCTGTTTGTTTGGGTTTTGTGGAGGCGTTTTGAATAAATAGTCTTTTCTGACCTCTCACTGATGCTACTTCTGAAATTTCGAAGGAGTAAGCTCAAAGGTAAGCATCATCATTAGTGTTTAATTAAGACGAAAAAACACCGTGGAGGGCTTAGCGATGCTATTCTTCACCGAGAACACAAACAAGATATCAAAAAACTGAGTGCTGAACAAAAACACCGAGAATATAAATTACGCATATAGGTTCGAAAACATCTAGGAATGCCAAAAAAACCCGTTCGAAATAAAGAGCATAGGGATCCATGCTAGTGATTTTACCTGGATGCTCCCACAAGTATATCATCAGTAAATACTTACTGCTTGTTCGATGTATGTGCGCCACTTTTGCGGAGGCTGTCCAATTCTTTGTTTACTTTTTTTTTTTGAAAGTAAAACATAAACGATGTGGCTGCAAAACATACCCACAGACGTAGATGTGCGCACCATTTTTCACTGCCTCCCATACGTTGTTTCGATTAGCCCAAAGTTTGTCTTGCACATAAATCTGAATTTCGGACAGATATGCGACCAGGCAAAATACTCATTTGTTAGTGGCAAAGTGTTAACATGCCAGCACTAGCAAATTCTTTATGGTTGCTGGGAAGCGGAACACGAAGAAGTGATTTTCGCTTTGACTCATTTTGTAGGCAGCCCATTTTTGAAGACACAACGGGACAAAATGAAAGGTCTACCTCTGCAGAGCAGATTCGACTGCCGAAGGGAGTCTTTCAATAAAGAAAAAGGCTTTATAAATAACTGAGGTTGGACTGGACCGCACCAAGCTTACCGGTGCGATCATGCGTTTCTGCACTAAACTCGCAGATTGCTAATGGCAGGAACGATCCCTGCGCTGTAGCCTAAGAATTGAGCTCGTATTGGGCACGCTTTAGCCTCTTCTAGCATGCAGGAGGAAAGGCGTCGGCTGGGATGAAGGTGTTGCATTATGAGGCCGCATGGAACTCCAGGTACGTGATTATCAGATTTTTGCATGAAGCCCAGGTTTTTTATGCGTTTTTGCATATGTGTGAATTGCAAAAACGCATATTGGGAAGGGGCTGTCTGTGTGTA